AAAAAAAAATATATTTGGTAAAACGTTTACCGGAAATACAGTAAAAGATACATCAGTTTTAATTTATTATAATAATAATGACACGCACAATAGAAAAATGAGCAAAACGATAATAAAAATAAGTAATTAAATACTTATTTAGTGTAGCTTTCTGAGAAACCCGGAAAGAATAACATTGTGGATAATAATGAGATATTCTCATAAGAGCATTACGGGAATAAGTTACCATCCATATTAATATTAATATACTGTAGATGTAAGACAAACCCACCGTTTCCAAAAAGGAAAGGTCCGCAGATCATTTTTAAGCATACCAAATTTGGGATATGTTGATTGAGCACCATGTCACAGCTGATGACGTAAAGCATACACGTAATTTTTCATTCTGCTTTTTTTCTCCACATTCTGGGCCTGCTTTGCCTACAGAACAACACTTTACTCCAGTCGACATGGTTGGACTTACCTCTGCAGGTAAGTATGTACTTAGGGCATAGGCGATGACTTCAATTAAATCACTTCGATCTTCAAATCTCATACATCGTACCATTTGAAGGTGGCATTATCTCGTTACTGGACGAGCCTGAGGAACAACTCAAGATATATGCCCTGCAAAAATTGAATACGCTTGTCGACCAATTCTGGGCAGAGATATCGGACTCGGTCGCAAAAATGTATGAATGGCTCTTGGGTTAGATTCTAGTTATTAAAGTCACACATTAAATTAGCACTGGTTCACATATCCATTGAGATCGCTGTCGTTTAATATTAACCATTGTACTATTCTTTGGTCAATCATATATTCTAAATAGTGAAATTCTACATGAAGACGAGAATTTTCCTGAACGTGAACTTTCTGCTCTCGTTGCATCAAAGGTTAGTGGAAAATAAGAGATTGAGCAACGGTGCAAAACAAGGTTCTCACTGAAAGGCCCAATTATCAATGTTATCGTGATTTCATTTTCATGACCATGTGCCGTCTGTAGGTGTATTACCATCTTGGTGAATTTGATGAGTCTTTGACATTTGCACTCGGAGCCGGTCACTTATTCGACGCGTCTTCTAAATCGGAATATGTAGAAACAATTATATGTAAGTTCCAAAAGTTATCAGATTATAAACTCGACGAGGAGTATCTATGCTTGCAAGGAATAAGAAAAATTTTATATTCATCGATTAATGTTTTGCTTGGTTTCAAATTCTAACTAATCAAGACATTGTTTTCAATTGCTGTTTCCTACAGCCAAATGTATTGACAAGTACATTAGCCTGCGTGTTCAGCAGTATGATAGCCCCACAGGGGACCCAAAAATTGATCCTCGACTACGAGATGTCGTTGAGCGCATGTTCCAAAGGTGTTACCACGATGGTGAATATAAACAGGTGATTTTAGTTTAGCTTAAGGAATTGAAATAATCAACTTTAATGTGCGTACCATTTTCTTACAATGGTATTTTATTTGTCTTGTAGGCGATTGGTATTGCATTGGAGGCTAGGCGATTGGATATTATTGAAGAAACAATGAGATTAGGAGATGGCGCAGATTTATTATCTTATGTTTTAAACGTGAGCATGACTCTGGTGCATAATTTGGATTTTCGCAACAAGGTGATGTACTGAGACAACCACGTCGTACTGAGCTTTCTTGACGATTTTGTTTAACGTGAGTTGGAATGACATGTACTTTGAATAACTAGTTCTTACACTTTAATAGGTTTTACGACTTTTGGTAAAGTTGTATCAGAACCTCAGTGAGCCCGATTATGTATCGATAAGCCAGTGCTTTGTACATCTGAATGATCCAGCATCTGCTGCTAAATTGTTGGAAGATCTTGTTTCTAAAGATGAGGACGTAAGAAAATTAGTTGTGTTCTTATTACAAATAGTAAATTTAATGGTTTTACTGAATTTTTTTTATTTACTTTTTTAGTATTATTTATTAATGGCCTACCAATTGGCCTTCGACCTCGAAGAGAATGCCACACAAGAGTTTCTCCAAAAAGTTAGTAGTTTGCTTCCAACGGCCTCACCTTACGCTGTTGCCA